CTACATACATGTAAGCTAAGATTTTATAAAGTGAAAGGTTTTATTTTAACACAGATTCATAGTGTAAATTGACTTAAATTGACTTCCAGCCACATCGATGTGACTTAAAATCTTAATTCATAGAGAATTTTAAGTTAAATTAAAATTTAAAACTTAATCATACAGCTTTCAATGTTGTTAAATATTTATTATCTTAACTTTTCATCTTTATATTTTAATAACCCTTTTATTCAAATAAATCATTTTTGTTTCTATTAGATATGGTAAAATCTCTTATCTTTTTGACATACTCATATTATACCAAGCCAACATGCATGCTAATTTGACCTTAAATTCAGTGCGATCAAATATCAATTCATTAAAGTTCCAAGGGTTTTCAAAATACTCCCACTAGAGAATCATTTTTTATTTTATTTTTTTTCCCCTTGGTCCCACCTAATAAAATTTGTAGATGCACCATCACTTGATAAGCCCTATAAATACTCTTTCCCATTGATCAATTTCTTCATCAACTTTTCTCAGCTTATTCACTTGCCTTATTTGCTTTCTTTTAACACCCTTGTCTTGTTTTCTTTTTAATCACTTTTCATCATTTTACTCAAATTCCTTCATAGCCATGGCCACTGTCCAGGTAAAATAATAATTCAATATCAATTCCTCAGTTCCTCTATTATTGTTTTATCAATCTAGTTATTTCTTATGATATACAACAAAATTAAAGATTAATTAATTTAATACTCCTAATATTTCTTGTGTCGCGTTGTACTATAATCGTAGTAACTAAATTTAGACAGAGGGAGTATGTAGTGATGCAGTACTATATGTCTATATATGTTGATTCAGTACAATATGTATACCCAATAATTGTACTTGAGTGTTCCTTCCTAGTATTTTTAACTATTTTAAATCCTCTCACTAGCTAAATTTATACAGTATTTGAAAACATAATTTATCAAGGTTTTTGATCATGTGCTTGTTTAATAAGGATTGCATACATCTTAAGGTTTTTACTGCCATTCGTGGTGCATGATTACAAAATAGTACGGAGTTCTCATTTGCCACATCCGTTTATACAATAGATGCATCAGTTTGATTTTTCAAACTATCCCTGCACTAACTTTGAGTATGATTGATAGCTAACATCTAAAATTGAATTTCGTTTTTTTTAATTGTTATTGTTGAGTTAACCTCTACGTATTCAATCAAAATAATGCAGATATTGAGAAACATATTTAATTATTGATATGTAGCAACAAATTGTTGGTCCACTAGCAACTTCATCTAGATCCATATTGTTTTTCTTAGTTAATTATGTTTCGGGTAAAATCAATGGGACCTTCGGCAAGGTCCTTTTTGGTGGGCTGAAGATTGATCTCAGTCCGAGTGATGACTAGGCCGAGGGTTTCCTAACAGCAGACACACATAAACTGGCCTCGGAGGTGTTGCTGAGGAAGGCCCCTCCGATGCCGAAGTCAGTACAACGTTTAGAAATAGAAAGCTGTGCAAGAGTATTAATTGCTTGAGGCTTAATGTGTATGATTGTAGAGAGAGGATTAAATGCTTTTATACCTTTTTTCAATAGATAAGTGGGTCATGAATCAAGTGGGCTTGCCACACTGACCGGGCCTTAACTGACTTGACATGGTTTGGAGAGTTGAACCTTAGCCTTGGGCTTTGTAATTGAATCATTTATGGACCGGCCCAATTGAAGTAAATTGGACTCAAACAAATTATTTTCTTAAGGTTAAACTTGAACAGGTTGCTTCAGCTCAAAATGCACTGCCACAGGAGAAGAAAGTGGAGGAACCAGCAAAAACTTCACCACAATTAGAAGAAGAGAAGGCAGCAGAAGTCGCCGAGCCAGAGCAGCCTAAGGTTGACTCTGCAGAAGAGAAACAGTCCGCGCCACCAACATCAGTAAAAGGTGAAAAAACTGAAAATACTGCAGTACAAGAAGACGCGAAAACTGAGGAAGAGCAACAACAGCCAGCAGAACCTGCTGCAGTTGAAGCAGAAAATGTTGCAGAACAAGAAAAAGAAAACACTGAAACAAAGGATGATGATCAAGCAGTCGAGGAGGCTAAGAAAGCAATAGAAGAGCTGGAGGTTGAGGACAAGAAGTCGTCTACTCCTGTCGAGGAGTCCTCAAAGGTGGCACCAGAGCCTGTGGTAGAGGAAAGCAAAAAGGAAAACAAGGAAGCAGAAGTCAAGGAAGCAAGGGAGGAAACTACAGTGAAGCAGGATGACACTGCAGAAGCGAAGAAGCCGGCTGAGAAGAGTGATGAAGTGAAGGCTGGTCCTGCTGCAGCACCTGCAGAACCAGAAGCAGAGGCTGCTGTTGCTGTTATTGAGGCTGATACTGCATGATTTGGAAAAAAACTTCCGTTTCCTGAGATTATGTAACGGATTTACCTTTCCTTTTAATTTGTGTGTGCATGTTAAATTAGAGGAATATGTTATATTGGTCAGCTATATGTATTATGTAGTAATGGTTGTAATTTCGATGTGGTCGAATTAAGCCCATTTTGGTGAAATAAGGATGTAATGAGCTTTTATCAGACTTTTGTATGTTCATCCAAGATGGGCAGTATAATTCTGGCTCGCTATTAGATCAATAAAATACGGTGTATTGTGTTTTATACTTGTTTAGAGTAAATTCACTGTCCTTTATATTAGATTGAACATACTCTATTTGACCTGCTAACAATCTTCTAAATTGTTTGTGTCAAAATCCTTAACAAATTACTCCATGTCTTTGTCTATGATATGATAAATTTACTGTCCAGCAATATGAAATATGAGTTCATCTTCTATGATTTAAAAAGTTACAAGACATGTACTAAAATTATTATACACCCAAAGCACACAAAAAGTTTTGTAGACTTTTTATGACTTGCAGATTATATTTGTAAATTAACAAATATGCCTAGTCAATATTGTAACAAGACAAACCTAGATATATTAAGATTTGTAAGACACAAAACAATCGCGGTGGTAGTCCTTTTATAAATTTACATACTAGTTTTTTATTTATTATGTTATATAAAGGTCCAAAACAAAGCTAAGGATATTATTAATTCAATATATCAATATATTGATACCTATTGTAAAAAATAGGATGGGTCTACCACTGCTGGCCACTTATCTGAGAAAAGCAGAAAACTTCTAAGAGGCTAACCACATTCTGTGTCTAAATGTGTCATTACAGCATAGAGGTAAATTGACAATAAAAAGTGATAAAAATGGCCATCAACCTTCCAGGCAATTCCTCATTCACGGCGCCGGGAAGAGGCAGAGATGAAATTTATGTAGCCACAACGCCTCTACGGGCAACCAAGGGACCTGCTCAATTACTCATGTCTGCTGCCTATTCTTCTCAACTTGTGGAATCTTCAGCATTTCATGCTCATCATCAACCATCCATAACTTCTGCCTCTCCTCCTTCAAATTGCCAGGTTGCTCTCTTCCATATCACCCCCTCCCCAAATAAAAAGTTCGGAAAATTATTTCATGCTCCGGGAGCACTAAGCATGATGCTCCGCCATAGTGTACAGGACTCGTGATTCACGTGTGTCACTATGGTGATCTTAGGAGCACAATATAGAAATTGACATTGCTTATTGGTGGATAGTTTTATTGAAGAGATCAGACTTGATCAAGTTGTCCTTATCCTGTAGAATGGTTATTGTTTGCAGGGCTTAGTGTTTTGATTTTCAGCCTCAGGATCCTGAAAACATATATGTGGCTCTGGCTGCCTTATCTGGTAGAGCTATCCCAGGTAAGCGGATACTGTGAATTACTCGTGCTGCGGTTCATCGCATTTGTTTTTACTCCATAACCCGCAGCACTGCACGAATTTGTAACTCTCTTTTGTTAATCATCTTGATTGTTTAGGAAATATTCTGGTAAGGAAAATTAGCAAGATTCCTAAGAAAAAGTGTTGGTACATTGGTTCATCCAAGTTATCAAATGCTGTAGAAGCTGCCTATAAGTTCAACAGCAGCTGGCAAACTGATTTACGCCTTGGCCACCATGATTGTCGTCACTATACCAATGGTTACACTCTGTTCCCGCTTTATCAACGACTAATAATAATGAGCTCTTTCGAGGCAGCAAGTAGTACTACCTTTGTCTAGTATTAGCCGTCACATTATCTCATTTCTTGTCTGAAAAATCTCTGTATATCTGCTTGCTAGGACTGGCTGAAATGTTGATTGGGAAGAAAAATGTACTGGAGCACCTTCAGGAGAATCAACAGGGAATGGATTATTAGATGAGGCCATGTCTCATGTGTATTTTCATACAGCAAACTCTCTAGGCCACGTCTGGCTACAATAGAAACTCCCTTGCTCGCCTATGAACCGAGTTTAGCATAATTCACACGGACAGCTTATAGTTGCTACTTGCCATCTTGCTGATTTAGTGGCATAATTTTGACATAATAATTTAAAGTATTCACTGAGGCTTGCATGCATTTTGAGAGCACTTATATTACATTGCCATCAGCTTGAACTCGTTTACAGCTTGAACTCGTGAATTTGAGTGAAAATTCAACATTGAGCACACAAATTTTCGAGTTGAGCGTAGTATCAGACTCACTGAGTACAGCTCGAGCTAAGTCAATTCAAGCTCAACATGCATCGTCATCATTCATGGTCAAAATTATGATGTCTTCTGTTTAGATTTGAACTTAGCAAAAGCGAAAGATGTAGAAAAAACGAACCTTCAAGGTCTGCTGTAGAATGGAGTTACAAATTCATGCTTCAAGCGTTGTCTTAATATAGCATAGAGAAATGCAGGACGGCCAGGATCAATCACAACAATTTGGCAATTGTATGCCAAATGTACAAAACAAAGTCCTCCCAGCACACCAAAAGCTGTAAAAGGCTTGATCAATTAACATTGCCAAATTAGAATCACTAGACATTAGACAATCATATAAGAATTACACAAACTAACAAGTCCTCAATCTAGAACCAACAACAGTGATTCTACAAGCCTTGCCCAATCTACAAAGAAAGTAATGCTTCCACCTTCGCTACCGGATCTTCCTCCTTTTTAGGGGGTGGACTTCTATTAGCCTCGTCATACAAGTCATGCTTCCACTTCTCAGCCTGGGAACCACTTGAACGATACCCTTGTCTTCCACCAAAATTCTCCCTCCCCCTGAATTTGCCATTATCATCAGCACCATTAAACCTGCCTCTGGGAGGAAAGCCAGTATTTTCAACTCGTCCTCGGTTTGAAAACGACCTCTCCTTTACATATCCTCGGTCATGCTCGTTTCTTTCCAAAGGGCGACGATCATGAGCTCTGTGTTCCCATCTTCCAGTACCACCAGTAGAGCTAGCAGGATGGTCAAACTTACTAGGTTCAGGAACAGCATTATCTACATCCTCAGACTTCAGAGGAAGTTTCTCCTCTCTAAATGGCCGTCTTTTTTTGGTAGGTGGATGTGCATCAGATTCTGCTTCTAAAAATTTATCGTGTTGCCAGGCATGGTTGTCACCACCTTGAGCTCGAGCTTTTTCCTCCCTTACTTTTGGATTAGAAGGTGCTGATCTATGTGCTGCTCGGTCTTCGTCCCTGGAATCGCTCCACCATCCACGTTCTATGCAGAATAGAGAGCAAAATGAATTAACCAACAAATTTAGATGCATAACAAAAGTGATTCGAATTAAGAAAAGAATGTCAAGATATCTAGTTTGAAGTGTATAGGGGAAGGGACTTTGAGGACTTTTTCCAATTCTCCAAGAATTATTGATAAGCCGTAGATCCTTATGATATTATAGAGTTTCTCAAAAGTACAATGAAATACAAGGAAGCAGAAAATAATGAGTCTCTGACACCCAAGTCAATGGTTTAGTTTGTGGAGTGAATAATTTGCTCAAAGTAAAGCCTTCATCTCTTGCAATCAACTTAATGCATATATCCTGGTGCCTCAGCTACTCCAATCCAACAAAAGCTCTGAAATTTTCATCATCAGCGAAACTGTGACAAGTGCCTGCTACGTTTCTAGTCCCTCATCATAATCCATACTTCCGTCCTCCAGCTACCAACTTATATGCCTTAATTCAATCCCTTCTTTCCCTTCAGTCTAATGGCAGTAAGCACTAAAGTCTAGACTATTAAGTTACCTGATACTTTTCGATACTAATTACCATCCTCTCCCACTGACGAAGTACAGCAGCCAAAAAAATCAAATGGGGATTTAAAGAGTACCTTGAAAAACTTAGTAACATAAGAGTACCTTGAAAAGCTCGGACAGTCAGTAATTTGGGTCTTTTTATTCGCTGGAAATTTACTTTTGGGTTTTGTGATGGAAAGGTTCCCCTGGTTTCTTTATTGCCCCTTGTCCTTTTTTCAATAATTTCCCACCTCAGATTAGAACATGAAAGGAAAAATAAATAGGGTAAAGGGAAAGAGAAAATTTGAGAATTAAAACCCGCAACCTCAAAGAGAATTCCAGCCATAAACGAGCTCAAATGGCCACCAAATACTTATTAAATACTCTTTTGTACCTAATCTGGTAAAAGGATTATTCAACTTTTAAGATACCCATCTGACAATCCGGCCGATTATAAGCTCTTCCAAACAACCACTTTCATACAGTAAACCTTTGACTTCTAAATCACTCTCCACCCCTGCAGGGTGAATCCGCCATCAGCGTTGATTTCAAACAAAGATAAGGAGAAAGAGGGGGGGGGGGGGGGGAGGGGGATGGGAAGGAAGGTAGAAACTGAGAAGTGTTTATAGTCAAGGAGAGGACAAGCAAAGCAAGGGTGCAAATCTTACAGTTGTCTACTCCCACATCAAGAAAACCCTCGCCCATGAACTTCCCCATGATAATGGTATGACTACATTCTAACTGTGTCAAGTTATACCGTTATAAGGTCACATTGTAGCTTTATTATCATCCTATGAGAAGCATCTAGTACAATGTCAGAAATTATGTGGGTCACATGACTCGTATCCCTGCATCCTCAAAACTAAGAAGTAAGAACATTTTTAAAGTGGAAAGGTAGCAATAATGAAATTGTGATAAAAAAAAAAATAAATAATAAACAAGAAAAGCAACCACAAGTTAAGAAAGAAAAAAACCCACCAGATGTTGATCTGCGTCCAGAGCGGCTGCCATCTCGGGCGGCAGTTCGGCGGTCATCATGCTGTTACAAGACATGAAGAGGCAAGCCTAATATAGTTACACTTACACGGGGGCACTGAAATCATTGGATGAACAAGTACCCTCCTAGTTCAGCCCAGTAAATGGATTTGCAAACACTGAATAACCACCAAGTGATCAAACTCATAGATATGCCTATTTGAACAAATAGCACATTCAGAATAATACAGACGTATTCATATCCATGCTAATATCATTATACTGGATATTTGCATGGTTAAAGCACAAAATAAATCAGTTTCTAGCCTTAATAACTTGTCCAAGCACTGTAGAAACATAAGACTTCATCCAGCACACATGCACATGTGCACACACACGTACATAATTTTTAAGACATATTTCTTCCTGAAAACTCTCAATTTACTTAAACACATGTGAGTCCATAGAATGGAAATGATTTTGGCTGAGAGGAACCTTTTATTGCAAGGATCCACAAGGATCACACCTCCACCAGTCCACCTACCTCAATACCTAATTTGTCCCTAATAATCCAGGTAACCCAGTGGAAAATATAGGTGGACTGGTAGAAGAGAATTCAGACAATGACTTTGTAGAGAAATCTGATGAAGAGGAAGTAGAAATAAAAGAGAAATGCAGGATGGGGTGTTCCTTACCTCTTAATGGAGAAGCTAATGAAGGGTTGGGAGTAGGGGTGCTTATGATGCGAGTCGAGTTTGAGTTTGGGGTAGCTCGACTCGACTCGACTCGTTAACATATCGAGTTGAGCTTAATCGAGTTAAGTTTTGACTGAGCTTTGACCAAATTTGACCGAGTCGAGCTTTGACCGAGTCGATTTCGAGTAGCTTGCAATTTGATCCGTCTTAGTAGAACTCTCTATTTAGTGTAACATCTCTTCATTCTCTTTAATTTTTTCATTTGAGAATAATACATATGATGATACGAGTACATAAATAACGTTTTATTTTTTAATTATTAATGTAAAAAAAAGTTTTTTTATCAAAATATTTAAATTTTTAGTGAATATAATATTATATAAAGGAATTCGAGGTTCTCATGAGCTTTTGAGTCGAATAATGGGCTACTCGACTCGACTCATTAACATTTCGAGTCAATCTCGAGCTCACTCGAGTCGAGTTTTGACCGAGTCGAACTCGAGTACCTCGCAAATTGTCTCGTCTCATTAGCACCCCTGGTTGGGAGAAGGAGAAATGAGGCTATCCATACTGAGGAACCCATTAATGAATCATTTGAAGAGGAAGTATTTGAAAATAAACCTCCTTTAAAGAGTAGATGAAAATGAAGAGTAGGTTTTTTATGAAATCAATTAATCCGCCTCAAAGATGGAGAGTTTTAGAGTTAGATGGTTAGGCTCCTAATGGAAAAGATAATATTTATTTAATTTACTTTTAATGCAACAAGATTGCAGCATGTCATTTAAGACTTATTTGTTCCATTATATATTTATCAATATTTGTCTCGTTTACTTTTAATGTAATAAGATTGTAGCATGTTTAAATTTTTTTTCCTTAAGCAATAAAACCATGCATGAATATATACCGATGAGTACATTCATAAATAATATTTGTTTCATTTACTTGATTTATTCTATTAGCTGTCATATATGTAGTCAAACAATATTTTATTTAGATAAGCAATTTTTTTACTAATGTTCGTAGCATACTAACTGAAAAAATTGAATAGATAATAAATCATATTGGTCTTATATGATCACGCAATACTCCTCAATTTTTTATTTCCTCTTGATCGGGTTCCTCTAAACTTTCATTTTTCTGATTTCTTCCTATTACATACCAGTCTAGATTGTTTATCAGGGAAACAGAGAATTGAAGTGGAAAAGTATGGGGTGGAGGTGCTCATGTGGGAACTGGCAATTTCAACTCTATAGACTCAGACACATGTAAGTAATTTGAGAGTATTTAAGAAAGCAAAGCATTTGGTAGACTTGATAGCTGGTCAAAGCACATATCGAACCATAAGCATGAAAGCATCCCACACATGTACGCGCACATGCACATGCACGCACATGCAACTCACGCGCACACAAACACATGATTCTTACTACACCTCTCTTCCTAAAGAGACTCGAACTATTTACCCACACAAGAAAGATCCTTACCACACCTCTCTTCCTTATAACTCCCAAATATTTTGTTTCCTATTGCAGAACATTTTTAGGCACGTTAAGAACTAAAACCCACAGTATCATGAAAATTGGTGAAACCTATTCTATGTTAAGAAAAGGGATATAGACTTCCATTTCGGTAATGTTTCAAGTCACCATTCACAAGGCCTTTTTGTAATTTCTTTAAAACTTGTGCCCAACACAGTGTCCTTGTATAATCACTTCACCATATTAATTAGGTGTAACTTCACTATAGAGTATAGAACAGTAATCTCATTATGGACCTCTCTACAGATCCACTTATAACCAGAAAAGGTGCAATGTTCATAAATCTCTCTGACCTCCCCACTAGCCACTGCTGCCACTCTTTTCCCTTCTTACCAGAAAAAAAAAAAAATTAGAAAATAATGCATAGAGCATTGCTTCCTATATCATGATACAAAACATCTACCCTCCATAATATAAATCTATCCCATCTAATTATAAACTAAAAGTTAAACCCATTGGAGACCCCATAGGCTGCAAGCTCTTACAAAAATGTAGATAATTTTTGGGAGCGAAAGAAAGTATGATTCATGATTATAAGTACTCCATAGTCCATACCCTCTTTCCAGCCAAAAAAAGAACAAATAACAAGGTACCCAAAGCTTTAGTTAACAGAGAATAGAAACAGCTAGGGTACGATTTTAAAAAGGAGAAGAAGGAGGAAGATTCCATTGACGGTCGAACAAAATAATAATAATTGCCAGCACTTTTTATTGATAATAACTTCAAAGAAAGCAGTTCAACTTGCACATGGTGCACAACCATAGGTTAGCATAGAGCATGAAAGAAGACAATATACTACTCTGCCTTAAAACAGAGCTGTAAAGGACAGACATAATGGAAGGACATTACATTTGTTTGTATTGTGGGTGGTCTGAGCATGCCTATTCTATTGGTTGTAAATCTGCTCAGCTACATCCACTGTATGTAACAAAAACTATTCTTTTGGAGATAAAATCGATCATTTGATTTATTTTAGGAATTTTGTTGCAAACAACCTAATAAAAATCAAAATTTGAGAAACCACCTAAAAAAAATGTTATAGCAAACCACTTTTTAAAAATTATTTGTTGCAATTTGCCACCTTTCGCTGGAGTATGTGACATTGACCAAACATTCCGGTTTTAATTGAGCATGTGCGAGGCACATGACTTCATTTAATAATCCCCAAAATTAGGAAATGTTTTTAGAAAGCACCTTTTAAAAACCAGAATTCGTGAGAAACCAAATTACAAAAAATAATGTTGTAAAAAACACACCTTTTTATAAATATTGTTTCTTTCTTTGACAAAATCTCCCTTTATTCCTTTAACAATCTAGGGTTTGATAATAGAATTGTGAATGGGGGAAACGTGTTGTAATTTTGGGTACAATGTCTCACTTTCTTGCAAACACCAAGTGTTGATGCGGTGTTCTAATTGCAAGGTTGAAGTCATGGGCTCATAAAATCCAAGTTGTAGATTTAAAGTTAGAATAATTTACAATCCCGACACCACGTACACTTACGAAGAACACGCAAAACAAAGAAGAAGGAACAACCAAACAAATAGGACGAGAGTAAAAAAGCACATCTTATTTGGGGCGTTTATTTATTTACATTTTATTAAAAAAAAAAAAAAATAAAATAAAATAAAATAAAATTGGTTTCTAACAACATTTTTTTTATAAGATGGTTTTTCACATATTTTGGTTATTAAAAGGTGTTCTCTGGCAAATATTCCCAATTGAGGTAGGTTTAATGCAGTCATGAACCTCACACATGCTCAATCAATGTCAGAGAATTTGAAAACATCCTCTTTTCTGGCAGCAGGTGGTAATTACATCAATTTTTTTTTAAAAAGGCGGTTTCTTTCGACATTTTTTTATAAGGTGATTTCTCGCAAATTTTGGTTTGTAAAAGGTGGTTTATGACATAATTTCCTTCATTTTGATTGCCACTTCATTTTAATTGCCAACAAAAAAAAAAAGAATGGAAATACAGAGCATGGCAAACAGATTGAATAAATAAGTGATACACATAAGTACATTGCAGAAATATATAATTGCAAAAGAGAATCAAAAAGATCAAAAGATTTCTTTTTTTTTAAGGAAACCTGACGATAAGATCCACGGGAGACTGCTGGTGGATTAGACTGAATGGTTCTTTCACTTATTCCATTAGTCTTGCTCTCCAACATGGAACTTGCATCTTTGACATCCTGCTTGGATTCAGAAGCCGGTGAAATTTCAAGCAGTAAAGCATCTTGACGCCGATGCCTGTGATTTTTATCTATATCTAGATCCTTATCAACAACTTCTGATTTAAGTTTGTTGGGACTTTTCTCTGTAGGCATTTTCCCTTTGCTATCAAACGTTCTGACTAAGAACCAATCTGACATGAGGATCAACTTACTATTATTTTCCCAACTAGAAAGTTAGACAATATCATTCTGCTAGTAAACAGGACAGGTCAAAAAACGAAAAGGAAAAAAAATACACAAATAGATCCATATTACATAAGCTATAAACATACTAGAACACAATCCTTACAAAGAAAATGCAATCAGACAATATCATAGACCTAATATCTCTGAGATAGAACTCAATTCCCACCAGTCACATAAATGAGGAGTTAGCAACCTTCCCAGTGAGCACGGAGACTCTTGCCCATGATCATCAATCATGAATTTCCTCTTAATCAAATGCAACCCCCAACAAAGCCCAAATATCTTGAGCTAAATAAATCAATGACATGAGAGTTGAGAGTCTCGAGTCTATTAAAGTAATTGCTTTCCTTTCGATCAAATGCAACCCCATACAAAGCCCAAATATCTTGGGCTAAATCAATCAATGACATGAGACTTGAGACTTGAGAGCCTATTAAAGTAACCGCTTTCCTTTCAATCAAATGCAACCCCAAACAAAGCCCAAATATATTGAGCTAAATTAATCAATAACTCGAGAGTTGAGAGTCGAGAGTCTCAAGACTATCAAAGTAAATGCTTTCCTTTCAAACAGATTCAACCCCAAACAAAGCCCTAAATTGGTCAATGCAGAAAATATATTTGAACCCAAGAAACTCCTGTCAATCCTAAACATGTGGTGCCAGAATCTAACCCTAATTTCCAACAGCAGGTAAAATTAAATTGGGTTTCCATAATAAACAAACAAACTCATTGAGAACAACCAACAGTCGAAATCATATAATGCGCCTCAGTAAACGCTCGATTTTAACAATATTAAAAAAAAAAAAAAAAAAAAAAAAAAAAAAAAAAAACCCAACTCTGAAATTTCAATATACAACCAATCCACTCAAAATCAAAAGCGATAATCCAACAATTCACAAATTCAATTGAATTGAAATAAAAAAAACACGCATGGTAATAGTAAATTAAAACTAAAAAATCAAAGTCACAATTATAAGAAATTTGAAAAATTGAATGTAATAGTCCAGAGAAATACCTGAATCAGAGAGGATGACGGGAGTTTAGTGAAGAAGATAATTGAGCAAAATCGGAATTTAAGGTTGAATTATCTGAAAAATTAGGGTTTGAGAGCGTCAGTATTTGAGTTTGAGCTCAAGCGTCGAGACAGTTGAGGACCGGATAATTTGTCAAAAACTTATGGTCTGGATTAGGGGTGGGACTTTTCAGACCGAACCGTGAAACCGCCCGTTACCGAACCGAACCATTACGGACCGATCCGTTTATAAATCGATAAATATAAACCGAAAACCGAACTGAACAGTTCAATATCAAACCGAAACCAAATTGAACCGCTCAATGTCAACCCGTTACGGACCGTAAACCGATAACAAACCAAACTGCGCAAATCCGAACCGAAACGAAACCGAACCGAATGGTTTATAAACCCGTTAATGACCCGAACCGTTTATAAGCCGAAACCGTTTAAACCGAAAAAAAAACCGTTTAAACCGAACCATTTGTAACCCGCTAACCGTTTAAACCGACCCGTTTATGACCGAAACCGTTTAAACCGACCCGTTAATGACTTAATGAGTTAATGCACATCAATATCTGACATCTCTATAGTTTATATGTATATTATATATATCTGTGAGTCTGTGACTGTATATCAGTATTTATAATAAACTAATAATAACTTAATAAGTAATAATACTAATAACTAATAAAGTAATGAAAATCTAACCATTGTTTTTCATGGGCATTCAATCTAACCGTTGTATATTTGACTATTCGTACATTAGTATTGCATAATGATTTCATCACCACTTTAATTAGTGATTTCGTGATTTCGTCCATTTAACTTATTAAGTTGTTTGAGTTAGTAATCTAAATAAAGTAACAAACTAAATAACGAATCCATTTAATCTCGTGTAAGTTATAATTTATAAGAAATGCAATGTTTGGAAATGAAAATTGATTCAATACGATATTGTTAATGTATATGTAATTATAGATTAATTATTATGTATATCATATCGTACGAATGTACGGTTGGTATCATTATCATACTATCATAAGTATCATTGCCTCGTTGAATTATTGGTATGTACTACAATCGATAAACATATTTACATATCTGATTATTAAAACTTAAAAGTTTAAAACACTTGTTGATCAATCTAATTGAATACTTGTACATTCTTAATTATCGATTTATCGTATTATAAGTATCAACTCATTAAATGGTCATGACGCGATCTTTAAAACAATCATGAATTCATGACCCAAACCGCTTATAAACCGAACCGACATGATCCAAACCGTTCATAAACCGAACCAATTGAACTGTGTAAACCTTCTACTAAACCGGCCCATTTCAAACTGAACTGACATGATTCGCACCGTTTATAAAACGAACCGATATTGACCCGGGTAAATCCGCCCCTAAACCGACCCATTTCAAACCAAACCGGCTTGATCCAAACCGTTTATAAACCGAACTGACATTGACCCGGGTAAACCCACCCCTTAAACCGACCCGTATCAAACCGAACCGACATAATCCGAATCGTTTATAAACCGACCCGCTTATGACCCAAACCGAATTTAAACCGCAAAGAAATAAACCGAAACTAAACCGAGCCGTGACTAACCCAAACCGAACCAAACCGACCCGCCAGCTAAACTAAACCGTTTTAATTCGAACCGCTCCAAACCGAAACCGACTCAAACCGAGGTCAAACCGAACCGCCAGACCGAAGTCCCACCCCTAGTCTGGATTATGCTATTTGCCTATACGGTCTTGGATGATGCTTATTTGCCTACGCCCTCTGTTCTAGATAATTAAATATTAATGAAAACTATTATAAAAATTACATTATAAACCTTATATTAACACATTTCTAACAACATATTTTATTATAAATTTTATTTCTATTATAATAGTGAAAAATTATGGTCAAAATTAATGTATGAATAGTGAAAAACTCCAACGTCTTATGTATTATGGGATGGAGGGAGTATATAAGACCGAATAATTTGTCAAAAACTCCCCCCGTCTCATAATAACTAATCTTCCGTATTTTTAGTTGAGAAATTATGGACCAATGCTTGTTATAGGCACCTCATGCCAATACCATAATATTTTGTTATTATTTTTATGAAAAACAAAACTATAATAAAAAGAAAAAAAGGGGAGAAAAGTAAAGGGGGTAAAAAGTTGGGTAAACTATTTCCCCATAAAAAACACTAGAGGATTACAGGGAGTTTCAAAAATTGCGTCATAGTTAGGAATGGCAATGGGTAGGGTCTAGGTAGGGTCTAATGATACCCGGACTCGTATTCGGATCTTTCAATCCATACCCATACCCTACCCGGACCCTTAGGGTCTAAAATTTTCAGACCCTTACCCGGACCCTATGGGTCTAGTAGGGACTGGGTAGGATCTAGGGTCTAATATGGGTCCTTCGCTAACCTTTTTTTCCCAAGTTTTAATTGTCTATTTTTTATTGTATGCTTAAAAAAACAAATAAACTAATACATAAGAACATGACCGATTAGTTTGACATATCGTAAAACAATTAAATAAAAAATATTAAAATGATATATAAACGAATTATTATTATCCATAAGCACAATACAATTTAAAGTCTTGTATAATCAAGCGCACAACTAGAAAGTTAATAGCCTACTATTTATAACTGTATTTCGTATTATACTCGATTTCATCATTAACATCCTATAAAATCATTATCCTTAAGATTTTTTTCTATTTGATTTTGAAACTTTTTCTAAGTCAATATATTGTGTGGTCTATATACGGGTTTGGATAGGGTATGAGTCTTAAGGGTCCGTGGGTAGGGTTCGGGTCTGAAAATATTATACCCAGACCCTAACCCTATCCGAGTGCGTATAGACCCATACCCTCCTACCCATACCCATAGGATCTAAGAAAATAAGATCCATACCTGTATTTCAGGGTAGGATCCGACAGGGTCTAGGTAAGGTCTCGGACCCATTACTATCCCTAGTCATAGCTAGTGGCTATTCACCGAAAATTGGAGGAGAATCCAAATATGGTGGCTATTCATCAGAAATCTTAAGGGGAAGTAGGGCTCCTTTGTGGAACGAAATTAAGCGCAAAGCTCAGAGATCTATCTCCATGGAATTTGCAAGTTTTTGTTGATAATTCAATATACAATTCAGGTAGGACAATAATTCAGCCATCTAAGTTGAATTTGGATGTTTTGGGGTTGAAGACGACGATGCGAATTATTTGATGGTGATAGCTATTATTGATTTTAATAATGTTATTGTTAATTTTATACTGTTATTTTGTTATTAGTATACAGTTATTGGCTGATTAGTATACTACTCCCTCTGATTTTTTTTAAATGCAACTTTTGCTATTTTAGTCCGATTCCAATTAAATGCAACTTTCTATTTTCGTTCTATTTTGGGTAAACAAAAACCCTTAAAACTACTATTTCACCCTTACTTTCCCACTACTTTTCCAAGTGGTGGGCCAAACTTTCTCTCTCCACACACTATATCACCTTTAATTAACCCCACTTTCACATACCCCTTAACTTTTGCATCGTGAACCGCACAAGGCCCCAAAGTTGCATTTAAAAAAAATCGGAGGAAGTATTATTGTTGCATATTCGATAAATTGTTTTTCTGAAATTTTAATTATTTTACTTGATTCAAATTGTTAAAAGTTATTTTATATGTGGATCTGAGTTTATATGCTTTAAGTTTTTTGGAATTTTTATGGGTTTGATTTAAATGTTATCGTTTTATAAAAATTGGTTTAAGGTTTGTGTTTATACTGTTATTGTTGATAAATATACTGTTATTGTTGATTTTATACTACTACTAGGTGTGAAGCCCGTGCAATGCACGGGTTTGGTAATATTTTTTTTTATTTGTTAAATAAGAACAGATAAAATCATAAAATATGAAGACATCAATTATTACTGTAATGGATTAGCTATTACAATTATTTTTTAAGAAAAGGGAAATTGTTACAATTAATTAAAATCTACTTTTTAATAATATAATTAAAATTCAATTTGCTTATATTTTTTTGTCAATACTCCTTTCTTTTAAAGAATAAATAAATAAATACTCCACCTACCCTTTTCCGTGTTCTTTGGTCTGTTTACATTATGTTAGTTTATTAACTTCGTTTACAATTTTAATTCCATTTAAATACTCATGTGTAGTCATATTCATAAAATAATTCAAATTATTTTATTCATACATTCTAATGTCTTTTAATTAAAATGTCTCATTATTTTTAAATATTAGAGTTGGCAAACTTCTCGTATTGTGTCAAGTTAACCCATTTAAACAGATATTTATTTATTTATTTTTCGACGGAAAGTATTTATTTCTCTAAAGCAAAGAATAAAATGGAAAAAAAAAATTGTGGTTGCAACAAAATGGACCCATCTACGAATATGAAAGATATACAAATTAAAAAACTATAAATCTCGAAAGTTGTTACATAATAAAAAAATTAAAAAGCTAACATAAGTATTATTTGTTACTATCATCTAAATATCTATTTCTTGAACATGGACTTTTATTATGTTTCAAGAGAATCCTTGATTCATAAAACTAAATCTGCATCATACACAAAGTACACAAATTAAAGTGTTAATATTAGCATACTATTAAATAATCTATAAGATAAAATTAGAAATTGTAAAAAATATCTAAATGAATTATATATATCCTAAAACATATATGTCTTTATCTTCTTTGATGTGATTTGGTCGGATGAATCATTAAAAGGGCGTTTTGCGGTTTCTTCAACGACTGTAATTACATCTTTTGAAGTATCTTCATTATCTTTTATGACATCTTTATTCTACATCAAAATTATTTATGTAAAGTTTTAAGAAATTAAAATTTTAAATTCATGAATTCTAAATAAACATTAAATACTTGTAACAATTATTTAGTACCTCAATGACACTTTTGTCAAAAATTCTCATCACCATAAAAAGTTTGTCGAATTGCTGTACGATTATAAGCGGTGATTTTAACTTTGAACACTAACTCTCTTCCGATGATATTTGCAATCATCTTTGGAATTTGTGTATCATCATCTTCATTGTCATTATCATCATCATTATGATCATTGATCTGTCAATTTTAATTGAAATAAGTGATAAAAGCATTTGTAGAACAATTTAATATTTTAACTATTGTTAAAGAGCAATTTTAAAAAACCTTTTCATAAATATGAGCCTCAAAAAGAGTACTTGCATCTTGTCCTATTAATTTCTTAGCTTCTTCATCAAAAACTACAAATATTGTTTTCCCACT